CAAACTAGGCATGGCAGGTTCAGCCTGTGCATAAACTTGACTGAAGATCAGGCGAATGCCACACAGTAGGAGTGAGGGCTCACAGTGCTCTTCACAGGGCCTCTGGGTTCGATGTGAGTCAAAAAAGAGGGAAATTAGGCTCAATCCAAGACTCTCTGCTGGATCTTGCTGTGCTATTTGCTATCTGTGGCAGGGTGGGTGGACTGCATGGCTAGACCCTGCTCATTTCTCCACCAGCTGTGATGTGAAGGGACAGTAGGCTGAGGAACTCATGAACCATTCCATTGTAGGTCGGTGGCTTCAATCTGGGGTTAGTTTGAGACCATGGCAGCATCAGTGAAACCAAAAAGGTTGGCAGGAGGCAACGATGGATGTCCTGTGGCTCATCTCTTGGCTGGCTGGCTAGAGACTGCAGTGCTTCATGCACAATGGTAAGCGCGAGGGCTCCATGAGCTCCTACACCATGCTAGGGCTACTGAGGGAGGAAGGGAGGGTGAAGGAAGACTGAGATATCAGAAAGCCATGGCTCAACTGGGGGCCTTTTGCATACTGAGTCCCTGGGGGTCTCAATGAATGGCAATGCACTTTTCATTTTTCAACAGTGTTCTGTCCCAAGCGATGCATTCTCTTTTATTCTAAAACCATTCCTTTTCAGATGGCTGCATGCATGCTGTGGAGAGCATGAGCGCTCGGCCTGAACATTTGTTCCTACAGGTTCTCCCATATGGAGCCTAGGCTGAGAGAGCCCCCCCATAGGGCTAGCCGGCAGCTCAACTTCGCTATGCAAGGAGGACTACGTGAGGTGGATGCCACAATGTGTCAAAAGGTCTAAATGTTACACTGGATGCCAGCCATGTGAGAACAGGTTTCATAGTGGCAAAATGTACCTCAATTGTCCTGTGCTCAAAATCCGGGGACCTGCGAGTCACACACTGTGACTAGGAGTTCCTCAGTTGCTAGTGCCCACAATTCCTTAGGAGTGTGACTTCTTGGCCATGCTAGGTAGAATGCAATGGTTCAACTCTTTGATTCCGGGAGGAGTGGAGTTTCAATGCAAGGCTCACGAATTACCGTCGTGGCCCTGGCTCATGGCTGTGCCAAATTCCAGCTCAGTGCATATTAGCCATGAGTCTCCAGACCTGTGCAGTATGGTTTCTGTGAGTGGGAATTCCCAGATTGTGGAACCAGTTTGAAAGTTTAATGTATGAAAATCACGCCTGTGTGTACTTGGCCTCGGTCTAACTGGCCTTCTCAAGCAGGATGCTTTTCTACTGGCTTGAGGACAGTCTCACTGCTTTGGGCAACAGACCAAAAACATATTCATGGAGAAGATAGCCATGAGGGCTTTCTCACTGGCCAGCTAAGTAGTCCCCAAAGTTAATGACATTCTGAAAAGTATGAGTCAATTCTCTTGCAGCTGTTAAGTGGTTCTATTTACTCTGTGCAAGGGAGCTATGATGGAATGCAGGCTCACTGTGGCTTGATTGTCCACACCAAACTTCTGCCATTTGATGTCTAGGCAAAGGACCTTTTCATTTACTTCCTATCCCCTTGCCCTGTGTTAACCAGGGGCAGGTAGGGACCAGGGTGCGTTGACTGTGTATCCCAGTGGTGCTCATGGTAGCCCTGACCAGAAGCTACATGGAGGGTACAGTTTTATTGTGTGGTGACCACTTCTCAACAGACTTCTGTGTGACTTGTCCTTGAGGACTGTGTTTTTCCACGACAACAACACTTAAAACATCCACAAGGTAGTGCCTAGGATCAGGGCAACAGCACACTTCACCTACAAGTCATCAAAAGACTGCTTACTGCATAGCTGGCAGAGGGATGACATTTGGATGGCATTGCTAACCACACCTTGAGCAGTCCACTTAAGTCAAACTAGGCAGAGCAGGTTCAGCCTGGGCCTAAAGAAGTACTGAAGGTCAGGTGAATGCTGCACAGAAGGAGTGAGGGCTCACAGTGCTCTTCACAGGTTCTCAGTGTTCTATGCGAGTCAAAATAGGGGGAATTCAGGTTCACTCCAAGACTCTCTCATGGACCTCAGTGTGTTATTTGCTATCTGTGGCAAGGTGGGAGGACTGCATGGCTAGGCCCTGCTCATTTCCCCACCAGTTGTAATCTGAAGGGACGGCAGGCTGATGAATTCATGAACCATTCCCTTTCGGGTGGATGGCCTCAGGTGGGGTGCTTTTGAGCCCATGGCAGCATCAGTGAAACCAAAAAGGTCAGCAGGAGGCATGTCTGGTGGCTCATCTCTCAGCTGGTTGGCTAGAGACTGTAGTAATTCACGCACAACGGTATGAGCGAGGGCTCCATGAGCTCCACCACCATGCTAGGGCTTATGAGGGAGGCAGGGAGGGTGAAGGAAGACTGAGATATCAGAAGGCTGTGGGTCACCTGGAGGCCCTTTGCCTACTGAGTCCCTGGGGATCTCAAGAAATGGCAATGCCCTGCTCACTTTTCACCCAGATTCTGTCCTGAGCAATGTTTTCTCTCTGATTCTGTAACCATTCCTTTTCAGAGGGATGTATGCACGCTGTGGAGAGCAGGAGTGCCCGGCCTGCCCATTGTTCATACAGATTCTCACCAATGGAGCCTAGCCTGACCGTGACTTCACAACATGCTAGCCGGCAGCTCAACTTGGCTCTGCAAGGAGAACGATGACAGGTGGATCTCACATTGCGTCCAAGAGGAACTGAATGTTACAGTGGATGCCAGCCGCGTGAGTGCAGGATTCATAGTGGCAAAATGAACCTCAACAGTCCTGTGCTTGAAATCCAGGGGCCTGGCTGTCTCACGCTGTGATGAGGAGCTCCTAAAGTTGCTCATGCCTAGAGCTCGTTAGGAGTGGGACATGTCAGCTATTCTAGGTAGAACCCAATGCTTCAAATCATTGATTTGGGGAGGAGGGGAGGTGCAGTGCAAGGCTATCCAATTAACTTCGTGGCCCTGGCTCATGGCTGTGGCAAGACCCAGCTCAGTGAGTATCATTCCATGACTCACCAGACCTCTGCAGCATTGTTTCTCGGAGTGAGTGTGCCCTGAATGCAGAAACAGTCTGAAAGTTTTATGTATGAAAATCATACCTGTGTGAACTTTGGCTGTGTCTGACTGGCCTTCTCAAGCAGGATGCTTTTCCTCTGGCTTGGGGACAGTCTCGCTGCTGTGGGCAATAGACCATCACCATATCCAGGGAGCAGACAGCCGTGAGGGCTGTCTCCCTGGCCAGCTAAGTAGTGCCCAAAGATTATGATATGCAGAAAGGTACTAATTACGACTCTGGCAGCTGTTAAGAGGTTCTAGTCATTCTGTGCGAGGCAGCTAAGATGGAATGCAGGCGCACTGCGGATTGACTGGCCAGTCCAACCTTCTTTCATTTGAAGGCTAGGCCAAGGGCATTCTTATTTACTTGTGAGGCCCTGGCCCTGTGTTCACCAGGGCCAGGTAGGGACCAGGGTGCATTGATTGTGTATTCCAGTGGTCCTCATGGTAGCCGTAAGCAGCAGCTACATGGTGGGTATAGACTTGCTGCGTGCTGACCACTACTCCACAGACCTCTGTGTGACTTCTCCATGAGGCCAGCTTTTTTCCATGTCAACGATTCTGAAAACATCCACAAGGTGGCGCCTAGTATCAGGGCAAGAGCACATGTGGCCTACAAGTCCTCAGAACAGTGCTTGCTGCATAGCTGGCAGAGTGATGATATTTGGACGGCATTGCTGACCACACCTTGAGCAGTGCACTTACGTGAAACGAGGCAGGGCAGGTTCAGCCTGGGCCTAAAGATGGACTGAAGTTCAGGCGATTGCCACACAGTAGGAGTGAGGGCTCACAGTGCTCCTCACAGGATCTCAGTGCTGTATGTCAGTCAAAAGAGGGGGAATTCAGGCTCACTCCAAGACACTCTCCTGGATCTTGGTGTGCTATTCGCTATCTGTGGCACGTTGGGTGGACTGCATAGCTAGACCCTCCTCAATTCCCCACCAGTTGTAATCTGAAGGGATGGCAGGCTGATGAACTCATGAACCATTCCATTTCAGGTAGTTGGAAACAAGCTGGAGTTCGTTTGAGCCGATGGCATCATCAGTGACACCCAGAAGTTTGCCAGAAGGCAACAATGGATGTTTTGTGGCTGATTTCTCAGCTAGCTGGCTAGAGACTGCAGTGCTTCATGCACAATGGTATGAGCGAGGGCTCCTTGATCTCCTAAACCATGGTAGGGCTTTTGAGGGAGGCATGGAGGGTGAAGGAAGACTCAGATTTCAGAAACCCATGGAACACCTGGGGGACCTTTGGCTACTGAGTCCCTCTGGGTCTCAATGAATGGCAATGCCCTGCTCACTTTTCACCCGGGTTCTGTACCGATCGATGTTTTCTCTCTGATTCGATATCCTTTCCTTTTCAGAGGGCTATATGGAGGCTGTGGAGAGCAGGAGTTCCTGGCTTGACCATAGTTCATACAGATTCTGCTGATGGAGCCTAGGCTGAAAGTGACCTCACATCATGCGAGCCAGCAGCTCAACTTGGCTCTGCGAGGAGAATGATGCCAGGTGGTTCTCACAATGTGTCCAAGAGGACCTGAATGTTACACTGGATGCCAGCCATGTGAGTGCAGCTTTCCTAGTGGCAAAATGAACCTCCACTGTTCTGTGCTCGAAATCCAGGGGCCTGGCAGTCTCCCACTGTGACAAGGAGCTCCTCAAGTTGCTCCTGCCTGCAGTTGGTTAGGAGTGGGACATGTCGGCCATTCTAGGTAGAACTCAATGCTTCAAATCTTTGATTCGGGGAGGAGGGGAGCTTCAATGCAAGCCTCTCCAATTAACTTCGTGGCCCTGGCTCATGGCTGTGGCAAGTTCTGGCTCAGTATGTATTATTCCACAACTCCCCAGACCTCTGCAGTATTGTATCTGGGAGTGGGTGTGCTCTAAATGCAGAACCAGTTGAAAGTTTTATGTATGAAAGTCGCACCTGTGTGAACGTGGGCTGTGTCTGACTGGCCTTCTCAGCAGGATGCTTTTCCTCTGGCATGGGCACAGTCTCCCTGCTGTGGGCAGTAGATCCTCACCATATCCACGGAGCAGACAGTCGTGAGGGCTGTCTCACTGGCCAGCTAGGTAGTGCCAAAAGTTTATGAGATGCAGAGAGGTATGAGTCAAGACTCTCGCAGCTGTTAAGGGGTACTAGTCATTCTGTGCGAGGCAGCTAAGATGGAATGCAGGCTCCCTGCGGCTTGATTGGACACTGGAACTCTCTTACATTTGAAGGCTAGACCAAGGGCCTTCTTATTTTCTTGCGAGGCCCTGGCCCTGTGTTCACCAGGGCCAGGCAGGGACCAGGGCGTGTTGATTGTGTATCCCACTGGCCCTCATGGTAGCCATGAGCAGCACCTGCATGGAGGGTATAGACTTGCTGCGTGCTGACCACTACTCCAGAGACATCTGTGTGACTTGTCCTTGAGGCCAGCGTTTTTCTGTGCCAACGATCCTTAAAACATCCACTAGGTGGCGCCTAGGACTAGGGCAAGAGCACAGTTGTCCTACAAGTCCTCAGAAGAGTGCTTGCTGCCTAGCTGGCAGAGTGATGACATTTGGACAGCATTGCTGACCACACCTTGAGCAGTCGACTTACGTGAAACGAGGCAGGGCAGGTTCAGCCTGGGCCTAAAGGTGAACTGAGGGTCAGGCGAATGCCGCACAGTTGGAGTGAGGGCTCCCAGTGCTCTTCACAGGTTTTCAGTGTTCTATGCGAGTCAAAAGAGGGGGAATTCTGGGTCACTGCAACACTCTCTCCTGGATCTTGGTGTGCTATTTGCTATCTATGGCCAGGTGTGTGGACTGCCTGGCTAGGCCCTGCTCATTTCCCCAGCAGTTGTAATCTGAAGGGACGGCAGGCTGATGAACTCATGAAGCATCCCATTGCATGTGGTTGGCCTCAAGCTGGGGTTCGTTTGAGCTCATTGCAGCATCAGTGAAACCAAAAAGGTCAGCCGGAGGCAACCATGGATGTCCTGCAGCTCATCTCTCAGCTGGCTGGCTAGAGACTGAAGTGCTTCATGCACAATTTTATGAGCGAGGGCTCCATGAGCCACTGAACCATGCTAGGGCTTTTGAGGGAGGCAGGGAGGATGAAGGAAGACTGAGATATTAGAAACCCATGTGTCACCAGGGGGCGTTTTGCCTACTGAGTCCCTGGGGGTTTCAATGAGTGGCAATGTTGTGCTGACTTTTCAACCGGGTTCTGTCCCGAGCGATGTTTTCTCTCTGATTCTATAACCATTCCTTTTCAGAGAGCTGTATGCAGTCTGTGGAGAGCAGTAGTGCCCGGCCTGACCATTGTTTGTACAGATTTTTCCTGATTTAGTCTAGCCTGACAGTGACCTCACATTATGCTAGCCGACAGCTCAAGGTCACTCTGCAAGGAGAACGATGCCAAGTGGTTCGCACAATGTGTCCAAGAGGAACTGAATGTTGCACTGGATGCCAGCCGTGTGAGTGCAGATTACGTAGTGGCAAAATGTACCTCAACAGTCCTGTGCTTGAAATCTAGGGGCCTGGCAGTCTCACACTGTGATGAGGAGCTCCTCAAGTTGCTCCTGCCTGAAGTTCGTTAGGAGTGGGACATGTCGGCCATTTTAGGTAGAACCCAATGCTTCAAATATTTGATTCGGGGAGGAGGGGAGGTTTAATGCAAGGATCTCCAATTACCTTTGTGGACCTCGCTCATGGCTGTGGCAAGTCCCGGCTCAGTGCGTATTATTCCATGAATCTTCAGACATCTGCAGTATTGTTTGTGGGAGTAGGTGTTCCCTGAATGCAGAACCAGTCTGAAAGTTTTCTCCATGAAAGTCACACCTGTGTGAACATGGGCTGTGTCTGACTGGCCTTCTCAAGCAGAGTGCTTTTGCTCCGGTTTGAGGACAGTCTCCATGCTGTGACCAATAGACCCTCACCATATCCACGGAGCAGACAGTCATGATGGCTGCCTCATTGGCCACCTAAGTAGTGCTGAAAGTTTATGACATGCAGAAAGGTATGAGTCATGACTTTTGCAGCTGTTAACGGGTTCTAGTCATTCTGTGCGAGGAAGCTAAGATGGAATGCAGGCTCACTGAGGCATGATTGGGCACTGCAACCTTCTGCCATTTGATGTCTAGGCCACGGGCCTTCTTATTTACTACCTAGGCCCTGGCCCTGTGTTCAGCAGGAGCAGGTAGGGATCAGGGTGCGTTGCCTGTGTATCCCAGTGGCCCTCATGGTAGCCGTGAGCAGCACCTGCATGGAGGGTATAGACTTGCTGCGTGCTGACCACTACTCCACAGACCTCTGTGTGACTTGTCCTTGAGGTCAGCATTTTTCCATGCCAACGATCTTTAAAACATCCACAAGGTGGCGCCTAAGACCAGAGCAAAAGAACAGTTGTCCTACAAGTCCTCAGAAGAGTGCTTGCTGCCTAGCTGGCAGAGTGATGACATTTGGACAGCATTGCTGACCACACCTTGAGCCGTCGACTTACGTGAAACGAGGCAGGGCAGGTTCAGCCTGGGCCTAAAGATGGACTGAAGGTCAAGCGAATGCCCCACAGCAGGAGTAAGGGCTCCCAGTGCTCTTCACAGGTTTTCAGTGTTCTATGCGAGTCAAAAGAGGGGGAATTCTGGCTCACTCCAAGAATCTCTCCTGGATCTTGGTGTGCTATTTGCTATCTGTGGCCAGGTGGGTGGACTGCATGGCTAGGTCCTGCTCATTTCCCCACCAGTTGAAATCTAAAGGAACGGCAGGCTGATGAATTCATGGAACATCCCACTACAAGTGGGTGGTCTCAAACTGGGGTTCATTTGAGCCCATGGCAGCATCAGTGAAACCCAAAGTTCTGCAGGAGGCAACCTTGGCTGTCCTGTGCTTCATCTCTCGGGTGCCTCGCTATTGAATGTAGTGCTTCACGCACAATCGTATGAGCGAGGGCTCCTTGAGCTACTGAGCCATGCTAGGGCTTTTGAGGGAGGCAGGGAGGGTGAAGGAAGACTGAGATATCAGAAACCCGTGGGTCACCTGAGGGCCTTTTGCCTTCGGAGTCCCTGGGTGTCTCAATGAATTGCCATGGCATGCTCACTTTTCAACTGGGTTATGTTCCCAGCGATGTTTTCTCTCTGATTCTATAACCATTCCTTTTCAGATGGCTGTATGGAGGCTGTGGAGAGCAGGAGTTCCCAGCTTGACCATAGTTCATACAGATTCTGCCTGATGGAGCCTAGGCTGAAAGTGACCTCACATCATGTGAGCCAGCAGCTCAACTTGGCTCTGCAAGGAGAACGACTACACATGGTTCTCACAATGCATCCAAGAGGAACTCAATGTTACACTGGATGCCAGCCATGTGAGTGCAGCTTTCCTAGTGGTAAAATGAACTTCCACTGTTCTGTGCTCGAAATCCAGGGGCCTGGCAGTCTCCCACTGTGACGAGGAGCTCCTCAAGTTGCTCCTGCCTGCAGTTGGTTAGGAGTGGGACATGTCGGCCATTCTAGGTAGAAGCCAATGCTTCAAATCTTTGATTCGGGGAGGAGGGGAGCTTCAATGCAAGGCTCTCCAATTAACTTCGTGCCCTGGCACATGGTTGTGTCAAGTTCCGGCTCAGTACATATTATTCCATGACTCTCCAGACCTCTGCAGCATTGTTTCTGGGAGTGAGTGTGCCCTGAATGCAAAACCAGTCTGAAAGTTTTATGTGTGAAAGTCACACCTGCGTGAACTTGAGCTGTGTCTGACTTGCCTTCTCAGCAGGTTGCTTTTCCTCTGGCTTGAGGACAGTCTTCCTGCTGTGGGGCATAGTCCCTCACCATATCCACATAGCCAACAGCCGTGAGGGCTATCTCAATGGCCAGCTAGGTAGTGCCAAAAGTTTATGAGATGCAGAAAGGTATGAGTCATGACTCTCGCAACTGTTAAGGAGTTGTAGTCATTCTATGCGAGGCAGCTAAGATGGAATGCAGGCTCACTGTGGCTTGATTGGCCACTCCAAGCTTCTTCCATTTGAAGGCTAGGCCAAGGGACTTCTTATTTACTTGCGAGTTCCTGGCCCTGTGTTCACCAGGGCCAGATAGGGAACAGCGTGCGTTGACTGTGTATCCCAGTGGTTCTCATGGTATCCGTGAGCAGCAGCTGCATGGAGGGTATAGACTTGCTGCGTGCTGACCACTACTCCACAGACCTCTGTGGGACTTGTCCTTGAAGAAAGCGTTTTTCCATGCCAACGATCCTTAAAACATCCACAAGGTGGCGCCTAGGACCAGGGCAAGAGCACAGTTGGCCTACAAGTCCTCAGAAGAGTGCTTGCTGCCTAGCTGGCAGAGTGATGACATTTGTACGGCGTTGCTGAGCACACCTTGAGCAGTCCACTTACGTGAAACGAGGCAGGGCAGGTTCAGCCTGGGCCTACAGATGGACTGAAGGTCAGGTGAATGCCACACAGTAGGATTGAGGGCTCTCAGTGCTCTTCACAGGTTCTTCGTGTTCTATGAGAGTCAAAAGAGGGGGAATTCAGGCTCACTCCATGACACTCTCCTGGATCTTGGTGTGCTGTTTGCTATCTGTGGCCAGGTGTGTGGACTGCATGGCTAGGCCCTGCTCATTTCCCCACCAGTTATAATCTGAAGGGATGGCAGATTGATGAACTCATGAACCATCCCACTGCAGGTGGTTGGCCTCAAGCTGGGGTTTGTTTGAGCCCATAGCAGCATCAGTGACACCCAAAGTTCGGCAGGAGGCAACATTGCCTGTCCTGTGGCTCATCTCTCGGCTGTCTCGCTAGCGAATGTAATGCTTCGCGCACAATCGTATGAGCGAGGCCTCCTTGAGCTAATGCGCCATGCTAGGGCTTTTGAGGGAGGCAGGGAGAGTGAACGAAGTCTGAGTTGTCAGAAACCCATGGGTCTCCTGGGGGCTCTTTGCCTACTGAGTCCCTGGGGGTCTCAATGAATGGCCATGCACTGCTCACTTTTCAACAGTGTTCTGTCCCCAGCGATGTTTTCTCTCTGATTCTATAACCATTCCTTTTCAGAGGGCTGTATGCAGGCTGTGGAGAGCAAGAGTGCCCGGCCTGCCCATTGTTCGTACAGATTTTCCCTGGTGGAACTTAGCCTGACAGTGACCTCACATCATGCTAGCTGGCAGCTCAACTTGGCTAGGTGAGGAGAACTTCGCCAGGTGGTTCTCACAATGCATCCAAGAGGAACTGAATATTACACTGGTTGCCAGCCATGTGAGTGCTGGTTTCCTCTTGGCAAAATGAACCTCAACTGTCCTCTGCTCAAAATCCAGGGGTCTGGCAGTCTCACGCTGTGATGATGAGCTCCTCAAGTTGCTCCTGCCTGGAGTTCATTAGGAGTGGGACATGTCGGCCATTCTAGGTAGAACCCAGTCCTTCAAATCATTGATTCAGGGAGGAGGGGAGCTTCAATGCAAGGCTCTCCAATTAACTTTGTGGCCCTGGCTCATGGCTGTGGCAATTTGCAGCTCAGTGTGTATTATTCCATGACTCTCCAGAACTCTGCAGTATTGATTGTGGAAGTGGGTGTGCCCTGAATGCAGAACCATTCTGAAAGTTGCATGTATGAAAGTCACGCCTGTGTGAACTTGGGCTGTGTCTGACTGGCCTTCTCAAGCAGGAAGCTTTTTCCTCTGGCTTGGGGACAGTCTCTCTGCTGTGGGCAATAGACCCTCACCATATCCACGGAGCCGACAGCTGTGAGGGCTGTCTCATTGGCCAGCTAGGTAGTGCCTAAATTTTATGAGATGCAGAGAGGTATGTGTCACGACTCTTGCAGCTGTTAAGGGGTTCTAGTCATTCTGTGCGAGGCAGCTAAGATGGAATGCAGGCTCACTGTGGCTTGATTGGCCACTCCAACCTTCTTGCATTTGAAGGCTAGGCCATGGGCCTTCTTATTTACTTGCGAGGCCCTGGCCCTGTGTTCACCAGGGCCAGGTAGGGACCAGCGTGCGTTGACTGTGTATCCCAGTGGTCCTCATGGTATCCGTGAGCAGCAGCTGCATGGAGGGTATAGACTTGCTGCGTGCGGACCACTACTCGACAGACCTCTGTGTGACTTGTCCTTGAGGCCAGCACTTTTCCATGCCAATGATCCTTAAAACATCCACCAGGTGGCTCCTAGGATCCGGGCAAGAGCACAGTTGGCCTACAAGTCCTCAGAAGACTGCTTGCTGCATAGCTGGCAGAGTGATGACTTTTGGACAGCATTGCTAACCACACCTTGAGCAGTCCACTTACTTGAAACTAGGAAAGGCAGGTTCAGCCTGGGCCTAAAGATGGACTGAAAGTCAGGCGAATGCCGCACAGTTGGAGTGAGGGCTCCCAGTGCTCTTCACAAGTTCTCCGTGTTCTATGCGAGTCAAAAGAGGGGGAATTCAGGCTCACTCCAAGACTCTCTCTGGGATCTTGGTGTGTTATTTGCTATCCTTGGCAAGGTGGGTGTACTGCATGGCTAGTCCCTGCTCATTTCCCCATCAGTTGTAATCTGAAGGGACGTCAGACTGATGAACTCATGAACCATCCCATTGCAGGTGGTTGGCCTCAAGCTGGGGTTTGTTTGAGCCCATGGCAGCATCAGTGACACCCAAAAGGTCGGCAGGAGGTATCCATGGATGTCCTGCAGCTCATCTTTTGGCTGGGTGGCTAACGAGTGAAGTGCTTCACACACAATTGTATGAGTGAGGGCTCCATGAGCTCCTCAACCATGCTAGGGCTTTTGAGGGAGGCAGGGAGGGTGAAGGAAGACTGAGATATCAGAAACTCGTGGGTCACCTGGGGGCCTTTTGCCTACTGAGTTCCTGGGGGTCTCAATGAATGGCAATGCCCTGCTCACTTTTCAACCGTGTTCTGTTCCGAGTGATGTTTTCTCTGTGATTCTATAACCATTCCTTTTCAGAGGGCTGTATGCAGTCTGTGGAGAGCAGGAGTGCCCTGCCTGACTATTGTTCGTCCAGACTCTCCCTGATGGACCCTAGCCTGACAGTGACCTTAGATCATGCTAGCCGGCACCTCAACGTCGCACTGCAAGGAGAGCGACACCAGGTGGTTCTCACAGTGCATCCAAGAGGCACTGAATGTTACACTGGATTACAGCCGTGTGAGTGCAGTTTTCATAGTGGCAAAATGCACCTCAACTATCCTGTGCTCAAAATCCAGAGGCCTGTCAGTCTCACACTGTGATGAGGAGCTCCTCAAGTTGCTCATGCCTGCAGTTCATTAGGAGTGGGACATGTGGGCCACTTTATGTAGATCCCAGTGTTTCAAATCATTGATTTGGGGAGGAGGGGAGGTTCAGTGCAAGGCTCTCCAACTAACTTCGTGGCCCTGGCTCATGGCTGTGGCAAGTTCCAGCTCAGTACGTATTGTTCCATGACTCTCCAGACCTCTGCAGTATTGTTTCTGGGAGTGGGTGTGCCCTAAATTCAGAAACAGTCTGATAATTTTATGTATGAAACTCACACCTGTGTAAACTTGGGCTCTGTAAGGAAAGATCGTGTTGGGCTCAGCCGGGTATCTCATTGTGTTTGAGATGCCTTCAGTTGTTCCAGGTGTGCTCCCCTGTCCTGGAATGTGCAGTGAAATCTCGGTAGACAACCTCAGTCACTTGTGTGAGAGTTGTGGTCTTTGTGCCATGGCTAGAAAATCGGACTGTGCTGCTAGTTGGAGGCTTGTGTGATGTGAAGGCATAAGCAAGATGCAGCCGGAGCCATTGGGTTTTATTGAAGATCCAACTTTGGAGAAGTTCCATCCGCAAGTTCTGTAACCAACCAGAGCAGGACACTATTTCCCACGTGAGAGACCCACCCCACAGGTAGCCTTGTCTTGCTCAGGTGGCCCTGCTTCCCTAGTGGGTGGTTGTACATCCCAACCTGAATAGTCACTTGCCCAATAGAAACATCCACATGTCTTAGCATGTGGGTGTTCTGGGAATGTTTTTTTCATCGTGGTTATTGGTGCATTTTAGGTATAATGTACAGTGACATTCATTGTTGGCATGTCGCAACTTTACATGTCAGGTCTTGGTTTTCCTTTTTGTCCCGTGTCCCTTCTCTCCCTTCACTCTCTACTACCCTCCTTATTTAAAAATTTTTAATTACCATTTTCTCATTTTCTCCTATTATTTTCTTCCCCTTATTACCATTTGCCTCCACTTCCCCCTCTCCTACACCTGAAGCCAGATTCTTCCTATTTCACATTGTCAATGATTTCATTAGAATCTAATGCACTATTGTAGTTTATTCACACCAGAGAAACTATTCGGTCTTTACACATGTTTGACTTACTTGTTTCACTTTGGAGGATATCATATTCAGACACATATAGCAGTGATAGCCCATGCAGTTTATGTTACTTGTGTTTAATCCACCCATTGAGCCAAGGCCATTCTTCTGTTAAATTGGTCTTCCCATCTCGATGTCCTCCTGAGATGGATGCGACTGAAATTTTGAGGGAGTAAATACACATTGAGTATTTTTTGAGAGGCCTAAAATTACAGTCAATGAGGCAAATTTGGAAGCCTGAGATATAAATTCTGTTTTCTCAGAGGCTGGTAGAGTATCAAAGTGCACTGTGAGTGTCAGGTCCACGACAGTGCTCAGCTGTCATAATTTCAGGCAGTTGGCTGGTCGGATCATTTCCATGGTTCCTGGGTAGAGCTGGATTGTGGTAACCATGGAGACTAGTGGGATCCATGGAGACAGCAGTAGAATGCTAAGGCCTCAGTCTCATTCCCTTCCATTTAGGCCTATCTTCTGGCTCTTGTTGAATGATGCAAGTGAGAGGACTTTCTGAGGACACTGAGGAATTTTGACTCTCATTCCTGGTGGCCTGGGGTACAGAGCCTCAATGATCTTCCTGAACAGATCCCAGAAGTCAGAAAGCACGTGAGTGAACATTCTGCCTTTCACTTTTTGTATCATTTCAAGAAACATCCAGTGACAGTAGCAGCCAATGTGACTTGGTGCACGGTTTTGAATTATATCTCAGTTTGACTTAGCTAGTTCACAGGATTATCTGACTGTCATCACCCTCCATCTCCAAACTTTCTGGCCCCCCTTCTAAAGAGGCAACTCTGTGACCTCAAAGACCCTCGCAAGTATCCTTAGTGACACTGGGAAAACTTTGATCCCGATAGTTTCTGTTGTTGACAATCCAAAGATGGCAGGAATGGCATCCTATGGGACCAGTCCTTGTCTGCCCAGGGTGTCCTTCACTCTGGAGAAAAATGTTCCTTCTCAGTCCCTGTTTAAGCCCGTGACACCGGCCAATGCTTCCTATGGTTCAATATCTTGGGAAGAATTTTCTATAGTCTCTGAAACAGTGCTCCTTTTCCTCCTTCCCATTTCTCAGGGATGCCCCTTCCAGGAATGGCATCCTATGGGACCAGTCCTTGTCTGCCCAGGGTGTCCTTCACTCTGGAGAAAAATGTTCCTTCTCAGTCCCTGTTTAAGCCCGTGACACCGGCCAATGCTTCCTATGGTTCAATATCTTGGGAAGAATTTTCTATAGTCTCTGAAACAGTGCTCCTTTTCCTCCTTCCCATTTCTCAGGGATGCCCCTTCCTGGGTACCTATATTTTTCCTAGTCACGAAGCTCACACTGTGGGCTCCGTCCATTCCTTAGATCTCTCTTCCAAATTCCCCAGATGTTTCCTAGGTGACAGCATGGTATTCACTCTTGCAATCCCACTGTGGTGGCCCATGTGCCCACTCAGCCACTGCAGGAACAGGTGCTCATGAAACTCTCATTCTTTCCTCACATCCACAAGTCCCTATGACCCTGGCTGCCTCCTTTTCACATGCACTCTCCTCATTTTCCTGCTTCTTCCTTACATGGCATTCCACAGTACTATACTTCACCTCCCATGCCTCCCATTTCCCGGCTGGCCATTCCACAGAAGATGACAACCATCAATTACCAATGTTGAAATGAATGGTGGATTTAGCCAAATTGGGATTCCTGTGCCTCATTGTTCTTCCACATGTTTTGGAAGCGCAGTTTAAATGGCAGTGGAAGGAAAGAACGTGTTGGGATCAGCCTGGGATCTAATTGTGTTTGAGATGCCTTCAGTTGTTCCAGGTTTATTCCCCTGCCCTGGAGTGTGTAGTGAAATCTCGATACACATGTCCAGGCACTTGTCTGAGGGTTGTGTTCTTGTGCCATGGCTAGAAAATAGGACTGCGCTGCTAGTTGGAGGCTTGTGTGATGTGAAGGCATAAGCGAGATGCAGCCGAGGCCATTGGGCTTTATTGAAACTTCAATTTTGGAGGAGGTCTGTCTGCAAGTTCTGTAACCAACCTCACCAGGACACTATTTCCCACGTGAGTGACCCACCCCAGAGATAGCCTTGTCTTCCTCAGGTGGCCCTGCTGCCCCAATGGGTGGTTGTACTTCCCAACCTGAATGGTCACTTGCCCAAGAGCAACAGCCACATGCCTTTGCATGTTGGTGTTCTGGGAATTTTTTTTTCATCGATTTTATCGGTGCACTTTAGGTATAATGTACAGGTACATTCATTGTTGGCATCTCGCACCTTTACATGTCAGGTTTGCTTTTACTTTTTGACCCGTGTCCTTTCTGTCCCTTCACTCTCTACAACCCTCCTTATTTACAATTTTTTTTAATTTCCATGTTCTCATTTCCTCCTATTTTTTCCTTCCCCTTACTACCTTTCGCCTACACTTCCCCCTCTCCTATACCTGAAGACCTTTTCTTCCTATTTGACATTGTCAATGATTTCATTAGCATCTAATGCACTATTGTAGTTTATTCACACCAGAGAAACTATTCGGTCTTTACACATGTTTGACTTATTTATTTCCCTTTTGAGGATATCATATTCAATCACATATAGCAGTGATAGCCCAGGCAGTCTATGTTACTTGTGTTTAATCCACCCATTGAGCCAAGGCCATTCTTCTGTTAAATTGGGCTTCCCATCTCACTGTCCTCCTGAGATGGATGCTCCTGAAATTTTGAGGGGGTAAATACACATTGAGCATATTTTGAGAGGCCTAAGATTACAGTCAATGAGGCAAAATTGGAAGGCTGAGAAATAAATTCAATTTTCTCAGAGGCTGGCAGAAAATCAAAGTGCACTGTGAGGGTCAGGTCCATGACAGTGTTCAGCTGTCATAATGCCAGGAAGTTGGCAGCTCAGATCGTATCCATGGTTCCCGGGGAGAGGTGGATTGTGGTAACCTTGGAGACTATTGGGAAAGATAGAGACAGCAGTAGAACGCTAAGGACTCATTCTCATTCCCATCCATTTAGACCTGTCTTCTGGCTCCTGTTGAAAGATGCAAGTGAGAGGACTTTCTGAGGACACTGAGGAATTTTACTCTCATTCCTGGTGGTCTAGGGTACAGGGCCTCTACAACATTCCTGAACAGATCCCAGAAGTCAGCCAGCAGGTGAGTGCACACTCTGTCTTTCACTTTTTGTATCGTTTCAAGAGAGATCCTGTCACAATAGCAGCCATTGTGACATTGTCCGCGTTTTTCATTTACAGCACAGTTTGACTGAGCTAGTTCACAGGATTATCGGACTGTCATCACCCTCGATCTCCAGACTTTCTGGTCCTCCTTCTAAAGGGGCAACTCTGTGACCTGAAAGTGCCTCGCAAGTCTCCTTAGTGACACTGGGATAAATTTGATCCCAATAGGTTGTGTTGTTGACACTCCAAAGATGGCAGGAATGGCATCCTATGGGACTGGTCCTTGGCTCCTCAGGGTGTCCTTCACTCTGGAGAAAAATGTTCCTTCCCAGGCCCTGTTTCAGCCCCTGACACAGGCCAATGCTGCGTATGGTCCAATATCTTGGGTAGACTTTTCTATAGTTTCTGAAACAGTGCTCCTTTTCCTCCTTCCCATTTCTCAGGGATGCCCCTTCCTGGGTACCTATATTTCCCCTAGTCATGAAGCTCACATTGTGGGCTCTGTCCATTCCTTGGATCTCTCTTCCAAATTCCCCAGGTGGTTCCTAAGTGACCACATTGTTTTCACTCCTGCAATCCCACTGTGATGGCCTGTGTGCCCACTCAGCCACTGCAGGAACAGGTGCCCATGAAACTCTCATTCTTTCTTCACATCCACAATTTCCTATTGCCCTGGCTGCCTCCTTTTCACATGCCCTCTCCTCATTTTCCTGCTTCTTCCTTACATGGCATTCCACAGTACTATACTTCACCTCCCATGCCTCCCATTTCATGGCTGGCCATTCCACAGAAGATGACAACCATCAATTACCAATGTTGAAATGAAAGGTGGACTTAGCCAAATTGGGAATCCTGTGCCTCATCGTTCTTCCATGTGTTTTGGAAGTGCAGTTTAAATGGCAGTGTAAGGAAAAATCGTGTTGGGCTCAGCCTGGGATCTAATTGTGTTTGAGATGCCTTCAGTTGTTCCAGGTGTGCTCCCCTGTCCTGGAATGTGCAGTGAAATCTCGGTACACAACTCCAGTCACTTGTCTGAGGGTTGTGTTCTTGTGCCATGGCTAGAAAATAGGACTGTGCTGCCCGTTGGAGCCTTGTGTGATGTGAAGGCATAAGCGAGATGCAGCCCCAGCCATTGGGCTTTATTGAAGCTCCAACTTTGGAGAAGGTCCATCCGCAAGTCCTGTAACCAAACTCACCAGGACACTATTTCCCATGTGAGGGACCCACCCCTGAGATAGCCTTGTCTTCCTCAGGTGGCCCTGCTGCTCCAATGGGTGGTTGTAGGTTCCAACCTGAATGGTCACTTGCCCAAGAGCAACAGCCACATGTCTTTGCATGTTGGTGTTCTAGGAATTTTTTTTTCATTGATTTTATTGGTGCACTTTAGGTATAATGAACAGGTACATTCATTGTTGGCATCTCGTACCTTTACATGTCAGGTCTTGGTTCTCATTTTTTTCCCCGTGTCCCTGCCCTCCCTTCACTCTCTACAACCCTCCTCATTTACATTTTTTTAATTTCCATTTTCTCATTTTCTCCTATTTTTTCCTCCCCCTTATTACCTTTAGCCTACACTTCCCCCTCCCCTACACCTGAAGACCTTTTCTTCCTATTTCACATTGTCAATGATTTCCTTAGGATCTTATGCAATATTATAGTTTCTTCACACCAGGGAAACTATTCGGTATTTACACATGAGTGACTTATTTGTTTCACTTTGGAGGATATCATATTCAGACATATATCACAGTGATTGCCCAGGCAGTCTATGTTACTTCTGTTGTATCCACCCATTGAGCCAAGGCCATTCTTCTGTGAAATTGGTCTTGCCATCTCGATGTCCTCCTGAGATGGATGCGACTGAAATTTTGTGGGAGGAAATACCTATTGTGTATATTTTGAAAGGCCTAAGACTACAGTCAATGAGGCAAATTTGAAAGGCTGAGATATAAATTCAGTTTTCTCAGAGACTGGTAGAGTATCAGAGTGCACTGTGAGGGTCAGGTCCATGACAGTGCTCAGCTGTCATAATACCAGGAAGATGGCAGCTCAGATTATTTCCATGGTTACCGGGGAGAGCTGGATTGTGGTAACCATGGAGACTTGTGGGAAATATGGGGACAGCAACACTAAGCTAAGGCCTGAGTCTTACACCCATCCATTTAGGCCTGTCTCCTGGATCATGATCAAAGATGCAAGTGTGAGGAGTTTCTGAGGAAGATGGCAGCTGATTATTTCCATGGTTACCAGGGAGAGCTGGATTGTGGTAACCATGGGGACTTGTGGGAAATATGGAGACAGCAACACAAAGCTAAGGCCTGAGTCTTACGCCCATCCATTTAGGCCTGTCTCCTGGATCTCGATCAAAGATGCAAGTGTGAGGAGTTTCTGAGGACACTGAGGAATTGTGACTCTCAGTCCTCGTGTCTTGGGGTACAGGGCCTCAACAACCCTCCTGAACAGATCCCAGAAGTCAGCCAGCAGGTGAGTGGACACTCTGCCTTGCACTTTTTTTATCGTTTCAAGAGAGATCCAGTCACAGTCTCAACCAATGTGGCTTTGTCTGCTGTTTTCCATTCCAGCACAGTTTCACTGAGCTAATTCACAGGATTATCGGACTGTCATCACCCTCCATCTCCAGGCTTTGTGGCCCTCCTTCTAAAGGGGCAGATCTGTGATCTAAAAGAGCCTCGGTAGTCTCCTTAGTGAGACTGGGAAAATTTTGATCCCAATAGTTTCTGTTGTTGACAATCCAAAGATGGCAGGAATGGCAACCTATGGGACCAGTCCTTGTCTTCCTAGGGTGTCCTTCACTCTGGAGAAAAATATTCCTTCTCAGGCCCTGTTT